CTGCGGCATTCTCTCACACTCCGCGTGCCCATTTGTGAAACGCCAAACCATCGGCCGCCATTCAATGCCCGCGATGCAGTCGTGGGCGCTCTGCTATCGACCTGCAAAAATGAAAAATTACGCTACAATGCAAGTGATATCTCAGTCTCCACTTCACGCATCATCGACTGTGGCCAAGCCTCATTTTCCATCTCAATTGTGCAACTTTGTACGGCGCAGCAATCAAGAGTCGCGGAGCGGGAAAATGACGGCACTTAGTGGTGAGCAAATCACGGGGCTTCTAATCCACATAATACGCTTTGATTCAAGGGGTTGATAATCTCAATATCACTTCTTGACACTTCCACAGTTTCTGTGAAGAATCACAGACACTTTCGGGACTTTTCCAGTGCTTAAAACATGCGTTTCAAGTATCATAACCTCAAATTTAGGCTTAAATTTAGGATTATTTAACTTAAAAAGACACAAATTTTTAGTTTTTTGATAGTATGTTAGACATATTTGAAGATTCTAGTGGATATTTTGATGTAATTCAATTTTCAATCTCTCTTTTGGACGCTTTTTGGAACATAACCTAAAAATTACATTCACAAACGTTAAAGAATCCGTGAAGAAAACTTATTGGGGATCTTTAAAAGGCAAAACTAATCGACAATAAGCTGAAATTTGCTATTTCAGAGTAGAAGATCAATCAAACAGCTCTTAAAATAGACAATTTTGTATCCTGAATCAGTATTTTAGAGGTTAGGATTAATCTTAGCATTATTTTATATTAAAAGCTTGTGATTTTCAACAGATTTCTTTATTATTGTGGCAGAAAATGTAAAATATTGCAGATTAGGGGGAAGAATGAATGATTTTGAAGCTTATTTAGTGGCAAAGATTGTCTTAAATTCACAACTTAACCTAGAAAAATGTGAAAAACAATTGATTTGATTCCTATTCTTGGGAATGGGAATTAAAATCTGGACAAATCTGGGTGAAAATGGGTGAAAAATCATGACAGAATATTCCTTCCAAATTCCTGAGCAGCTGTTTTGCTCAATCTCATGATCAGTGAATAACCCCCTGATCAGCGCGCAGTCTTTTGTGGTGACAACGAACGGGGAACAATGAAAAAATAAAGCATATTGACGTGCCAAAATGAATGAACGTGAAAATCACATAAATATTCACAGAATGCTCCAATGTACCTAAAATGTACGCTTCGACGTGGTCACATTGTCCTCCGCACCAGCCCAAGTCTTCCTCTTTGGGCAACTCTGTGCGCACAGTTTTCTTAGACACAGAGGAGAATTACCATCTTGCGTCTCGCTCTGAGAAGTACATATATATTGGGTCTGTTGTGTTGATTTTTCTGGTTTCGTATTCACCGTGTAAGACATTTCAATTGATTCACTAAGGTGGGGTCTGACCTTCAACACCTTCTAACCTTTTGTCTTCTTCGTCGATTCCTCTCACTCACACTCCGGGCTTTGTGCATCTTGAAGAGACAGAGAGAGAGAGGAGAAAAAAAGAAGAAGGTTGGAGTGAAAAATCTCAAATACTCTCGCATGCGGTGCAAAAAAGATCGTCTAGGAAATCCCTCAAGAGCCAAGAGGATTAGTTGAGAAAATTGTTTCTTTGCCACTTGATTGCATTCAATATTGCGCTGTTTGAGTCTCGACCGGCAAATGCCACACAAACGTCGACCAAGAAAACAACCCATCGATGCCACTGATTCCAGATTACCCAGAAGATAATGGTTTCACTTTTTTTTCCACTGTTTGTTTTGCACACGAATTCTGGGAGCTCTTCGCTCCTTGCGCTTCTGCCATCTTCCCGCGCTTCCCTCGAGAAATGTGTGTGTGTGCTCTTAGAAAATGGGGGAAGACAATTTAATACACGAGAAGCCAGTGAAACAAAAGACAAGAGAAGGAAGCAATCTTCGAGCAGCTGCTCCAAGATGTGCTCCTCAACTGTCTAAATTCATTCCTTCCCAGCACACAGTTGTGCGAAGGAAAGAGTTTTTCCACTTGTTTTGCCCCTTGCAAGGGGGAGATAATATGCCTCAAACACTTCTAAATTTGCCTGACACTTCCAGCACCTGAAACTTTAAGATTGTTTCCTCATTACAGTCCAAATCTTAAGTTTCCATCCGATATTTCTGCAAGAATCGAGAAAAGAAACGCATTTTTGGGCATCTTTTCCGAACATAACCTCAAAATATCACTAAGAAAGCTTTAAAAACTCAATTTGGAACCTCTCTAGATCAATAAATGAACTCAAAATTGCTGATTCAGAGTCAAAATTGTTCAAAAGGCTTTCTAAATTAACATTATCCACATTCAAATGACTATTTTTGAGGTTATGTTCGAGTTTAACACTATTTACCCATGTTTATTGCATGAAAATACTTAATTCTGCTAATGACTGTCGATATTTAGGGCTTGAGCATAAGAATTTATGTGCTAGAATACGAATTATTCACTAAATCTGTCCTTGATTCGTTACATAACCTTAAAAAAGGATTTTTATGATTGATTCTGCGTGAAAATCGAAGGAAATCCAAAGAATTGGGACAATTTGACAGTAAAATAAGCTCTTAGGAAAGGAATATTGAAAGTTTTTCAACACTTTCACTTCTTAAGTACATCTGCTGAACTTTACACCACTTCTGACTGTATTATCTCCCCCTTGGCTCCTTGGATGTCTAATAATTATGCATTTTTCGCCTAATTGTGAATCTGTGAAATTCAGTGCGACATTTTCGGTCCGGAAAGGTGTTTAACAATCGTTTAATGGTGATTTCCTGAAAGAAGAGAAAATGAAGAAAGAGAATTCGAGCTACAAGACCTGTGATTTCGTCAAATTGGCCTGAGAAATTTGGTTCAATAAACTTTACACAGTGCCTGAATGCAAATAAGCTGCCTGTTTTGAGCAAATTAACCAGTGTGAAGATCCAAAACAACGAAAAACTCATGAAAATCAACATGAGGAATCTCTCTAGATTGAATGTTTCCTCCGCGCTAATTCATATGGTCTTTTTTTTCTTCTCCTCTGCGCCAGTTTTATTGAATTTATATTGTAAATTTAACACACATGAATTTCACATTATACACAAATTTTTCGCCTCTCCCCTTTCGTCACCGTCGCCACCAAGGGGTCAATCACTCGCGATTTGAGACCATTAACTTTGTGATTATTCAATCAGTTTTTTGATTATTTATGATTACTATTAAAATTTTGAATATTTCATACAAATTCATACAAAATTTGATTATTTTTTGAATATTTTCTGAATATTTTAAAATATTTCAATTAAATTTGATTATTTCATAAAAATTCTGATTATTTTTTGATTTTTTTCCGGAATATTTAATCAAAATTTGAATATAATTAAATAATAGTGAATTAATTGATTGAAAATAATCTTTTTTTTTATTATTTTATTCAGACTTTGATTATTTTTCAAATTTAATTGGGAAAATAAACATTTTTTAAATTCTTTCATTCAAAATTTGATTCTTTTGATTATTTTGTCAATTTTATTTGTGAAAATATTCATTTTTTTAATTATTTTATTTAGAATTTGATTGTTTTGGATTTTTACTTGGGAAAGTAATCATATTTTTTAATTATTTGGCTCAAATAATTGATTATTTGATTAGAGAATATTGAGTTTCCTCAAAAATCGCCTCGTGATTTGCCCCTTGGTCGCCACGGATTCTCGAGCGTGTCGGCTGGATTTCTTGCAGAATGAATGTAGTTTTGTGTATAGTTTTGTACACAACAATGTGTGGCCAGAGAGCCCCTTATATATATGTATATAAGTCTCCTGGAAAGTTTACACGCTAATGCAATATAGCGCAATAAAATAATTTGAATAGTTTTATAGATTTTACAGGTTTTTCCATCCTCAACCTGCGCTACATGTGAATTTGATGTTCGAAAGTACCGCGAGGTTGAGGTTCAAGTCGCAGTAGGTGGTGTTCTTTGGTGGAATTGACCTCTGCCGAGGCGAATGGCGGGGTGAAGTGGTGGGGAAGGGAGAATTGGAATGTTCTTCTTGGCTTCGCCTAAGAAATGAAGGCATTTTGCGGTGAGAAATTGCAAGGAATCAGGTGCATATTTGTATTTTTATGCGGTTTCACGTTGGCGAATCGTTCCTAGAATTGCAACACAAGTGAAACCCTTGGCAATTTGCAATAAAAGATAAAATACATATCTTTTCGCTGACCGATCCGTTTTTGTGGTTTTTTAGACGGCCAAAGAGAGCGAACTGGAGATGAGAATAGCGCTGAGGAGAGATTAGAAAATTGAATTTAACCCAACATGTGCCATTCACCATTTGAGACGTGGAAGAAAAATGCAGCGCATAGAAATGAGAATTATTCTTTTCTCTCTCTCCTGAGAATCATATTTACTGCTATGGAAATTCTGCCATATATATATATATATGTCTGTGCAGTTTAATTGTTATGCAGCAGCATGCCTTGCATTTTATGAACTTTTGCGTGTACTTTCTAATTGAAATTTAACGTACTTTTTGCCTCAATTGTTCTCTGTTGCAGAGAAAAAAGTCTTTTTCTCTCTATTGTGCCGCGCAAAGATTCTTATCGCTCAAGAGAGTTTGATGGCTGGAAATTCTTCTTCGGCAATTTAACCTGAATTGACAGTGAGAAATGAATTTTCCACCATACAAATGCAAAAATACTTAATTGTTAATATTTTCGCGCTAAATTCGTTTCCACATCTTTGCAATCCAAGACTGAATTCCTCCATTTATCACCGGATTCTCACACTCTTCACGTGCGCATTTGGGGGCGGCTTTTCTCGCGGGAAAATACACAATTTGAACGCTGAGGGTGGAAAAGGAATGAAAATTGCATGACAATTTCCGTGTGTTTAAATTTCAAAAGTTCCTCAACGACTCAGCCTCTCCCAATGAATAAAGTTCAATTTACATTAATTTAGGGTATAAAATTAAATTTCTTCTCTCTCTCTCCCTTTCTTTGCAGTTCGCCACGGAGGATTTCGCGTGTCTGCAAGGACCTGAGTGCTCAATGGTGAGTCTTTTACCTTCCATTCTTTGGGGCCCTTTTGCATATTTCGCATTTTTGCGAGGGTGAATTTTCAGGGGCCCCGCGGGAATTCCGCATCCCCGGGAGAAATTCACCCCCAGTCAAGGGGCAAATGACACGCCATTCTTTGGCATGTAATCATCGTCGCGAAGACACAATTTTATTCTCTCACATAATCAAATATTTGATTTCCACTGAGAGAATGAAGATGTTTGTCCCGAATGTCACGACAGACAAAATTCCTTTGGGCTTTTCTTTTTTGCCTCCACCAACCAAAGGGCAGAGCAATTGAAGTGTTGCGCCGCATTGGAAACTCACTCACATTCAGCTCAATTGCTCAACCGTGTGTGTGTGTGTATTTTCTTCAGGGTGTCCAAAAGAATTCTTCCGCCGCCAGTGTTTGTCAAGGTGAGGAAGAAAAAAAATATACACAGAAAAATGCTCATCGCGGTTGTTTTCCGAACGTGACATTATCTATAATTTTCTCCCCCCATTTTGGCGGCGGCATTAATAATCGTGACGCGCCGCGAAGAAGTGTCTTGAGACATTCCATTCGAGAACGGTGTGAAAATTGAGCTCCTCGGCATTCCGCAGCCATCATCTTTTTCGCATTATCACGCGGGCGGGGGTGAAACTTTCTCATCAGCCAACTGTCAGCCGTGAAATGCCGCGGCGTGGGTGAGGTGCGACTAAGCCGTGGGGATGTATTTAAGTTTTTGCATAAAAGTACTTTTTGCCGCCGTGAAACTTTCCATCAGAAAGTTTCTCTAATTAAAAAGCCCACCCCAATTAACGGCGCACGTGGAACAAAGAAATGCCAAAGCTGTCGTTTTGTGGTGCAGCGCAAAAGGGCTGCTTGAGATGGGGTTGGTTTCTGATTGTTTCACGGACTTTTCACGGGTGATTTTCGAGGTGTTCCTTGTATTGGAGAATGTCTGATGCAACTTTACAGTCTTGTCTTGTAAGATAAGATGTCAAAATTTACCAAGATTCCAATTTATGCTTCAATTACGTAGAAAATGGGTGGAAATTTGTTAATTAGTTGAAGTAATTAAGACCAAAAACACTCTTAAATATCATATTGAAGGTCTTAATACTATAGAAGGTTGGCTATATGTAACCAACTCCCTCTGCCGCCCCATCTCGCTGCCTCCCCTGTTCCTAAGAGCAATGCACTGCTTCATTCCACGATCCTGATACAACTGACTGACTCGCGCGCTTCTCCGCGTGCTTTTTCAGTGCTTCCTAACAGCGAGATTCTCGTCAGAGGGAGAAGGCCGCCATGACAGTGGCATTCTCTTCTTGTACTCATCTTGTACTCTGTTGCTAATTTCAAGATTAGATTTCATATATTCTAAAATATACAGAATAATATTGTATCCTAAATCCCATGATATTTATGAATGACAAGACAAGATCTGTAAAGTTGCATTGGACTGTGGGTGAAGATGGCTTTCCACGCTCAATGATGAGAGCAGCAGAGTTTCCCAGACGATGTCATCACACTTGGAAGCAAGAAGATGACCACGACCCAAATCACACATATCAAAACTTTTCAATAGAGTGAAAATGTCCCTCCATTGTGGGCAGAAGTGCGCCGGGCGAGTGAACTCTCAAGTGGGGGCGGTCGAGAGCTGGGAAATTCACTCCCTCGATGATCCATCACCGGAAGATGAGGACAGAGGCATGGCCGGGTGAAAATTGGGGAAATTATTGGAACCTGTCCCGGAAGCCGTACAATAGGCGAGTGTGTCAAGAGTATAAATTCCTTTTATAACTATCTTCCTCCCAACTGGGAGGCGCGCGCGTGGGGCGAATTAATTCACGTGTGTGAATGCTGGGAATTATTGATCCTTTTTTGGGTGTCCGTGCGAGAATGACGCGCTTTACAACTCTCGGCTGATTAATATCCATTATTTCCCGATGATCACATTTTGAGAATTTCCATCATAAGTCACGTAAGAGCGTCGACGCTGGCGATAGTTTTGCGCGCCCTTTTCCCACCCACTCGGCGCCCACAAGGACTCACTGTTCGCGTCCGCGAGGTTCATACGTCGCTGTGGATGGACGAGTACAAAATGCTCTTGCTTTATGCACCCACTTGAAAGTTGAAACTTGTGAAATTAATGGGACTAACACTCTCGCCCACAATCCTGGCGTTGGCTTTTCAAATGAGATTTTCACGTATAATTTACTACACTCTCTCGTTGGTAATTAAATTGTGTGTGTGTGTGTGTGTGTGTGTTTGCTGAGCGCGCGCGAGAGGGTGGGAAAATTGAAAGAATCCCACCTCACTTTAAGGGGTTGGAGTGCAAGATTGAAAGTTCCCAGGGAAGATTCCTCTTGTCGTAAATATTTTTATGCACAAACTTTTAATTGTACTCCCCCACTCTTTTTGGTCTGTGCGCAGCAAATTAATCACATAAGAAAAGCACCGCGGCGAACAACTTCAAAGGGAAAATCCCTCTCTGTCTCCCTGGGGAGGTCAAAGTTGAGGAGGTTGTTAGTCAAAAATCTTTTTGTTCACCAACTGCACATCAATCATGCGATCGTCCAGGGAAATTTTGTTGGAAAATTCAACATAATCCCACGTTAATTGAAACGGAAGGTGGAAAATCCTCAGGACGCTCTCTCTCTCGTCCTCTGTGCGCAGCAATTTTCCAAGCCACGGCAGAAGAAAGTATATATATATATAACCTTCTAATGCTCGTCTGCGGTCTGTTTGAGGAAGTTTCAAATGAGCTTCGAAATGCTTGCGGGCGAGTAAGTTTTTGCCAAGGTGAAATTGTGTTCTTCAAAGGCGAAAATCTATGGAGATTTCAATTATTTTCACTCCACTCAGCTTTTGGGGGTGGTTTTCAAAGGCTCACCTATTCAAATTTAAACGGCACTTCTGTTCTTAGTCCCTTTCCCCAAAAACTATTCTCTCTTAATGCCAGATCCTTAAGGAAATTGACTTACAACAAACCCTTAAGTTTGGGTGAAAAAGGGACACGCTTTAATTCGATGTGACAATAAATTAGTCAAAGTGTTGGGCAGAGTGGAAAATATTTTGTGATTTTCACACCCTCAGTGTGTAAGATATTTCAAAATAGACCGCCTTTCCACCCCTTTTCCGCCCGAACCACCGTGGAAAATGCCGCACACGCACTCGAGGTGCAGAGGAGGGCGAATTGCGTCGCGTGATGCGGTTGAGTCATTTGCGTATAAATTAATTTGTGCGACAAATTCTGAGGGTGTTTTGGAGTGTGTCCAGCGATCCTTATTGTCCTGCATTTGCCATTAATATGACACAATATCGATACAGTTTTCCAAGGGTGCGAATCTTTCCCAGGCCGTTGATTTGCTTGAATTTCGACGGGAAGCGTTAATTTCGCTTCGAAATTGGCCAAATTTTAAATCAAACAGCCGAAAATGGTGTGAAAAATGTTAATTATCGCCCTATAGTAATTATTTGATGAATGTTTCGATTGGTTTTATTGGTTTTTATTGCAATTTTGACTGAAATATGAAAATATTACTGTTCAAAAGTCAATTTTAAATACATTTTTAGTGCATTTTATCCAAATAAGTTCATTTCATTGATGTTTTTTAAAGTTCTTTATTGAAGAAACTTAAAAATATGCAAAATTTTCCTCATTTTAAGTCTTTCAGGAACAAAAATTTGTGGAAAATCTTGGAAATATGAAATTAGGATGTTTGTCAAAGAAGAGTTTTTGCGAAAAACTGCAATTTAAGACAGATTTCTTGGGAAAAAGTCTCGTGTTTTTTTCATAAATCAGATTTTTTACTATTTCCCCATAAAATACAAATCTCAAATATTTTTTTTAGTGGTTAAACAGAAGAAAAGCTACCTGAAACTTATCATAGTTTTCGATTCAACCGTCGATTGGCAAGATGTGATTTTTCTTTTCCCCCGGAGGACAATTGTTGATTGCATTTCATGGGCGATTCCGCGTGACAATTTATTTGCTGTTCTTCCTCATTTGTGAAATTTTATTGCATTCGCCGTGCCACTGTTTGTATTTCAACCATTAAAAGCGTGCATCTCATTGTGCAAATTCCAGATGACATTGTATGGAGTGCTTGGATGGCTTCGGGCGGCATTCCTGCATTTGCGTGGCTGAAAAGAATTGGCTTTTTGGCTGGATGTATGAATGCAAAATGAATTGTCAGGGAATTTCGGGGAAGAAAATGCTCCTGGGTGAATGGCAGGATGACTTGAAGTGTGTGCGCAAGTGGAATTGACATTACAATTGAATTTACAACTCAAAGTGGACCTCCGTAATGAGCCAAGCAGTCAACTGTCGTAAATTGTGAGGATGTCGTCTGGAAATTTGGGCCCAAGATTCTCACTTGATTTCATTTGTGACTTCTTGCGGAAAATACATTGGGAGATATGTATATAATTAATTTGTGGCATATTTTCCATTGACGCAACCCTCTGAGTTTGCGGGGGGAAGGAAGCAATAAATAAAATCCTCGAGAATGCACGGAAGAGAGAGAGAGAGAGTTCATTGAGGAATTCTCGTGACAGTGTCACACCCACCCCATTGTGTCATGTTCCCCTGCTGTTGCCCACAAATTCTGGGGTTTGTATTATGTGTCTTTTCACACCCTCTCGCTGGTGGCGGCACAGCATTATATATCAAATTCGATTTATTTCCCCAAGAAATCAAAAAGTATTGAGTGGCGAGGGTGGCCTAAGTTATTTCATTGTGTGGAAGCGAGGGTGGATCTCACCGGCAATATTCATGCCTGCCAGAAGCTCTGGCTATAGATAGTCGACATCATTGACACCCCAAATGCTGACGCTTTCTGCCACGGACGATGTATGTGGCGCACGATGACTTATAAATTGAATGATGTCATCTACGGTTCCAATTTTCATCTTCACTGAATTTTCACAATGGATTGGAATTTGCTCTTTACGACCCAACTTTCTGTATTCACACACACACATCACGTGAAGAAGTTCGCCTCTC